TTTGCCAGTCCGACGAACAGGGCGATGAGGACGGCCAGACAGCAACATGTCAACACGCTTGCGCTGACTAAACAACATTTATTCTGTAAACGTAAAGGGCAAAAAAAGTTTGTAAACGTTGAGACGTCAGTCTTCTTTACATTTTTATGATTGGGGACCAATAGTGGTGGTCTTAATTTGATGAAGCTCACGGTACTACGCTCCGTTTCTACGTCATCAGGGAACACTGCCTTTTCATAAATGCAAAATATCTATAACTGTGTGGTAAGCACACCGTCTACACTCTTATTTCCTTCCCATAGTATTAGTCACACATCTACTTCAGAGATGAATCATATGTATGAAAGAAGAATCATACGTCCCTGGTGATGTGAAGTAACGCTGGGATCACAAGGGACTATGCATCGCCTGAAGGCCGGATAGGTCAAACACGAAAATAACTATTTTTAACTTGTAACGACAGTAGTTATCAATATTTCCACAACCAATGGAGATCTGAGTGACAGTTATTCAGGAAACCGTAGTACTGCCCATGAACTGAAACAACATTTCTCAATTGAAACACATAGAAGTGTGAGGTTGTCATACTCGCTACTCACATAGCTACTAATGAGATCACTTTTTTATTTTGTCAAATTCCGTAGCCAACATTATTAACGGTCAGAGGAGAACACTTACGGCCGTAGTAATCGACAAAACTGGCTTTGATAAAACAACGCAAGCTCATGAGATGATTTTACAACAAACACGCCATATGGACTGCTCGTCGAATGGCCACAATTAACCTTGTACGGCAAGTTTCTTGGAAGATTTCCAAATTGGCGAAATGTCCGATTGTTCTGCCAGATCTGACATGGTCACTTGTGACAAAATTAAAATTTCTTACCTCGATGACGGAATACTGTAATGAATGAATCTTCAATATTACAAACACAGAACTCGCAGGCCTCGGAGGAGCAGAAGTTACTAATCACAACAGTTTGTGGTCGGGCCACCGAAACCATATAAAACCGTTTTAGTCTGTTGTTCATATAAAATTTTGACAACCTCATTTTGTACGTTGTTTAAACATGCGAGTGAGTAAGAGTCAAATGCTTGTTTCAGAGCATTTCGAAAACACCTTTGCTTGGAGGCAACATGCTGTGGTTTTCACTTACAACGGGATGAAGAAATTCCCTTGCAAGAAGAATTTTATTAACTAATGACCGATAGAGTCGAAACATGAATCACAGTCGAACCATATGCTCCAGCAAGCATCATTGTAACCGTATATATCGATCATCATGGTGATGGTGAGATTGTGATTATGACTGGGATGAAAGTGGTGATAACGATGATCACTTTAAAACACTTAGTAACTTAGATGAATAGAAGAAATCAAGTATTGATTTACACTCACTGAGGAGTGATCTTCAGTCAGAACGGTGGGACTGATGGGTGGCAACAATTGGAAGGTTCATTGTCCCCACGATGCAATGGAACCTATCGAGTGAACAGACGCTGGCGTTAATTTTAATACTCTTTTGAAATTATTCATATATGAGAGTTAATTCAGCTCGCAGAACTGTCCATGCTGCTGTTGGAGGGCTGAATGAACAGCGCCTACCCCAACAAATATTCAAACATGTTCTGCGAACAGACGATGATGTTTGTTGCAGAGAAATCGATCATATGATTCACTGTAACGATACCAAGCATTCGCTTCACACAGATACGACGGACTGGCATCATGTGAGCTGCGCCAAAAAAATGGGCAATAGATGATCACCTCAATAGCAAGAATAGAGTTGTACAGAAAATCATTTATACCACCATTACTTTGTGCACTCACTGATCCTCAACACAAAGCCTAGATCGTTATTACTCACTTATCCCTGCTGTATCTACGTTTATGTCAAAGGTGGGAACACACATTAGGGTGCTTTGCATTGACAAGTACTGAAATTACTTCAACCTAATAATTAATTAGCTAATTAATTCCATTAATTCTTCAATGACCTAGTCACATTCATCTTTAATCCTGTTTAGCTAGGTAAATGAATATCACCATTTGCAAAAATCAAAAGCAGATCATCTACTGCACAATACCAACTACCTAGCTACAGACAGTGCAACCAACGAGACCCAGAGAGCGTGAGGACACAGGCACCCTCACCCTCCAATCAGATACCGTTGGAGAGTTTTGGGTTTTTCAACAGTGATTGTTCCCTGAAGAAAGATAGAAAATCGATGAGTGTTCAGTGATTCATACGATCATAAACGAATATGCATACCATGGCAGGGCGAAATTACATCTCTCAGAGCTGGCGGCAAGATAAGCAGCTAGAAAAGTGTATGGATGTGCTATGAACTAAAAAAACTAGCGCCACCAATGTTTTAAGTAAATTTTCTTCGTTAACTAATGTAAACTACTTCCCCTGCATATAACCCGCAGAAAACCTCCAGCAAGTTGTTAAAATCATCTAAGGCTAATAAAGCTTGAAGAATATTCGCTGCTACTGCAGCAACGGTCATGTTACTCTTCACTAGCAGATCTGCCAATGGCTACATGCCATGGTCTGCACAATTCTGAGGAATTAGTCCTTTATCCTCGCGTCTCCCCTTTAATCAGGTTTTCTTCCTTTCGCTGTCACTACAAAGAATTGCATTGTTTAATGGATACGTCTACAGAGTTTTACAGACGTAGGACGTTAACGCTGCGACCTTCTAAGCTGTAAACTTTAAAGTAGCAAGAAAAAATATTAAAAAAACAAGTCTCCATAGTACCTATGCAACATTTACGTTGGCCAGGTGTCCATCGAGGGTCATAGAACACGGTCCGGAAGCCTACTGCCCCAGGAAAAATAGGTTCCAGACTACGGGTCGACTCAGCATTGTCTTCGATTGTAAGGTCACCGCGGTAAACGTCATCAATGATCTCCAACGACTCCGGCTCATCGACGATTTCGTACCTGGCCGGCATGCCTAGAACAGACAATATACATAATTGATAAAAACATAAATAACAATAACATTGCGCAATTGGACGAATTTCAACGTAAGTCAAACCTAAACCTGAATTTAAAATTTGCATCAAAATTACAGCATTACGTATGCAATGGAAGAATATGCTTAGATTACTGACTGGGGCTACAACGCGCATTTTAATTCTTTAATGCTATGAATTTCGGCATAATTGATAATGGCAACAGTGGAATATAATTATGCAGCGCATATAACTGCGTGTATATGAGCATAACGATAACTACATGATATAATCACACAATCATTCGTTAAATTATATAGCTGTATCGAAAGCATTATAAAATTATACATAAGTACAACCTGCGCGTTGCAGCTACACCTTTAACAATAACTATTTATTAACTAATTATTTACTAGAGTCCTACCACGCGCGTAGTTGCAGCTCTGCACATTGTTACCTACTCCTACATATTAATACTCCTGCAATTAATTTATTTTACATTATACACACACATATATATAGAGACGAACATATAGGCACACTTCAGACTATATAGCAGCAACGAACAGATATGTTCAGCTGTCCGTACATATTGCTTTATATAAATGCACATGATTATAAATAAAACTGTATGCAAAATTCAATCAAATTACGCATTCAATGTATCCCAAAATTCCAGTTAACTATTACTGCATGGCATAATCAGCAGATAACAAAAAAAACCAAAATTATAAACAAACTGAATCATATACTACTTACAAACAATACGTCACACAGAAATGGGTAACAATATACTTTTATATGGATATAACCACAATGATCCCTCCTAAGTCCTATATCCACTACCTAAACCTAGTAGGAGGGTGACAATGGCATCTCAAGACGATGCACACTTGAACCTCTGGGCAATGGCAGGTTCAACCATAACAGAAAAGCTTGAGAA